GTTAGATCTAGGACAGGCGGCACAGAATGACTGACTCCTCGGTACTGTTCTTAAGCTCCAGGGACATAGCAGTGCCACCAACAGGCGGGAATCTCTGTCTTTATCGAGTGTATAGTCTACTGGGGAAAGACGAGACAGGAAAAGTATGCGCTAATGCATGGAGAGCCCCTGGCCCTGGGCGTGGCACCCAGGGAGTCCTCACACAGGGCTACGTCCTTCTCCCCCCCCCCTCAGTCTTCACAGCTTCTACACGAGTGCATCACTACGACCGGAACCTGGCTGGCTGACAAACGTCAACCATCTGGAGATTTGGAAATATGGGGGAACTTCTAATGACTGGCTAATTTTTTTCAGTTTTTCAGCCAGATGTTTGATGTCATCCAGGCCCATCTGTAGCAGAAATAACAGTTTATTGAAACTCTTTTTCATAATTTTAATTTCCCTGTTCTAAAATCATAAGTGGGCTGTCTTTTCTTAGTAGGCATTTTTTAATAAATCAAAAAAGTGATTATTGATTAATGAAGAGCAATTCAGTAATCAAATTTGAAAACATAAAAAATTTTAACTAAAAGGGCCTTTTAGATCATTTCCAGGATTCAAAACTGGCAGCCCCTGGGTCAACTCAGCGACAGGGTGAGTTTTATTTGGCTGACATTATGTTTTTCTTTTGTTGTTGTTTGTTTTCTTAATCCTCGCCCGAGGATATTTTTCCATTTGTCTTCAGATAGAGTGAGAGAGACATGGATGTGAAAGGAACACGTTGACTGGTTGCCTCCCTTATGACCCTGACCAGGGCTGAATCACAACCAAGGTATGTACCCTTGACAGGAATTGAACCGACGATTCTTTGATCCATGGGTCGACGCTCTAACCACTGGGCAAAACCAGCCAGGGCTGACATGTTTTTAAAATTTTTAATTAGTTGCTCACATTTTAAAAGTCAAGAGAGTTAATATCTGGCATTTTAAAATTTGAAATATTGAGCCAAATTGGTACACATTTCCCCAGGGTAAAAATTCACTTAAGCTAAGTTGTAATTGTCCCTTAAATGGGGCTTGTGTTCTCCAATTGGCCACAGTCCCCACCACTCTCTATTGCCCCCACACTGAGACAAAGTTTCAGTTATCATGTATCTTCTTAAATGCACTGTTCCTCCCTCCCTGACAGAATTGAATTAAGAGGACTGTGAAATGCTTTTTTCACACTTTACATTACCTGCGTAGTTCACATGAAAATTTAGGTTTGGTACTCCTTATTCTTACCTGAAGCTCTCATTTTAGACTTGGGTAAACCGGGGTTCAAACCAGGAAAAGAACATATACAATTGACATAACTGTTAGTGACAGAAACGGGACTAGCTGCCAGGGTCCCTCGCTCCTGGGCCAGCGCAGTGGTCTTTCTGCTCTCTAAGTACATCACTTTGATTGTTTTTAGGGCTTCAAGAGGTTTTCCTAGTGAGAACATCACATGTCAAACATGTTGTCATTCAAATTCACACGCTGCTGTTGAAAACCCACAGCAGACTGGGCTCTCTTCTGTGAATGCCTTGCGTGCTTTCCAGATAACGAGGCAGGCATTCGTTTGCTTTCCCAGTGTGGGCGTCTCTACACAGGTTGACTGTTTTTTCATTCAAAGCATGTCCTTTGCTGCCTCTGAGTTTGTGCCTGTCTGGTGGCTCCTGTGCCCCTGCAGACACTGCACAGACATACTGCAGGTCCTGGGCCCGGAGTGTCTGCATGTGTCTGGGCATCCTCACCAGCTGATGTCTGCGCCAGCAGCAGCCTATCCGCCAGAGCGCAAGGTGCTCTCCGGCAGACGCCCGAGAAGCAACATGGCTCAACTGAAGGAAGTAACTGCTGAGTTGAGGTATGTGACCTTGGGAAAGCTATATGCCTTCTCCAGCCTCAGTTTCCTCATCTGTAAAATAAGGGTGATAATACCTATTTCACTGAGTTCCTTTGAAGATGAAAGTTAATTTTTCAAAATTCTTAGAACAGTCCTAACACCTAGTAAATGCCAATATAAATGACATTTTGGTGAGTTATAGAAATGAAAACTGGAAACATCCCCTGTGTAACTTCACCAATGGGACCCTTCCTAACACACACAGTCATCCCCAGCCCCTTTGTAAACAGTACATGTTGGATTTAACCTGGTAATTGCTTGGAGGACTTTTAGGAAATTCAGACTCCAGTGAGCCACTGCAGGCCTATGAAAACAGAGAATCTAGTTGTGGAGTCTGATAATCTATTCTTTCTAAGCTTTTTATGTGATTCTGATGACTAGCCAAGTTTTGGAAGCATTTGATGTACTCGAATATCTTTCTTATGCTTGAATATCTTTGGTGGTGAGAAACTCATCACCTCTCAAAGCTTCCTATTCTGCACAGAGGCAAACCTGTTCGCCTCTAGCTTGCACTTCTACCCCCTTGAGGCCACACGGAACATTTCAAATCTCTTTTCATAGGAGAGCTCTCCAGCTGTGGCAGACAGCTGCCACGCCCTGCTGAGCACTCTCTTCTTTTGGACCAAAGGGCTATATTCTCACATGCAAAAAAGGAAAAAGAAAAGGTATGAATGAACTAATTCTTCTAATTAGATATCTATAAAAATGAGTTTTAAGACCCCCACCCCCTAGTCATCCTATGACACTTAAAGGGCCAGAAAAAGTGCGATGTCGAGGCTCTGGGACATAGGAGATACCAAACAAGAGATGGTTGTGCACCTTCATTTCATTAGAGCATGGGTCTGTCTACTGCATGTGTCTGCCCCTGCAGAAATCAGAGGCTTCTGCAAATGTCTAAATGTTTGATGTAGTCAGTACATGAAGGAAAATCTTGGCTTCAGTTTTAGCCAGGCCCATCTAGGTGTTGGTTGTATGGATGTACACATAGCTAAAATTTTGTTGCGATTCATTAAAGTTTATGAATCTTACTCTATTTGATACTTCAAAAATGTATCTGGATGAAATTTCATGAAGACTGAAACAAATTTTCTCAAAAGAGTTCATCTGACCAAGAACATATCTTAGATTCATCCAAGTCCTGCTTGATTCAAATTCTCTCTTCTCACAGAACGCCTGGGTAGGACTCCAATTCTTTGTACCAACTGTGGGCGTTGGACATGATGTTGGAAAAAAGAGAACAGTTGAGAAGTGTTTAGGGTTCAAGAATCTTAGGCCCTAAAGAGGGAAGCTAAAATTGGTGTTGAATTGTGTGTTCCAAGGTTTAGCTCCAAGAGGCAGAAGAATCAAAAATAACTGAAACATGGTGTCCATGTGTAGACATGGGTAAGAGTCTCAGACTTTGTATACCATCCCTAGAACCATGTAAGCATCCAAATATCCACAAAATTACAGCTTTACAAAGATAACTCAATTCCTTATTGTCAATATAGGAAAGCAAATTGTGGAATTTCCCTAAGGTAAATGACTTCACCATACCCAACCAGAAACAACACAAATGTTAGCTCTTTGTCAATGTTTAGGAAAGCATTATTCTAGAATTTTCATCAGTACACTGGATACAATATGAGGTTTGGGTAGTGCTAACTGAAGACTACCTATTCCAAATTAATCATTTCCCAGATTAATAAACTGAGGGTTGAAAAGGGCACATATCTTAGCCAAGGTCATACAGATAATTTTCAGCGTTGTCCAGGTATTCTGACTTCATGTACAGCGATCCTGCTTGCATTTAAAGTAGTCCTTTCCCATCTGGACTTCCCACCAGTTGCAAATTTGCACTGGAAACAGACTCAATTGTAGTAACTCTTACAGTCAGAAGAGCAGTTGTTCAGTGTTGGACATGGGAAGAAGGCCAGGGATGAAGCAATATTACACTAGCAAGTGATGTCATAGCATGATTTCCTAAGTGGCTGACATAAATGCAAGTTCTCAAGAAGCCCTGACAAGTGCCAGCCAGTGAGAATGCAGGCATGAAGAACCAATGATGAGCAGGGGAAGGGAGCATGTAGGAAACCCAGATTCCCTTACCTATCATTGTGACAAGCATCGCAGATTCCTTAGAAGCCCAAGAAAATTCCCTTCTAACCCTTTAATCCAGGGCCTTCCCTCAGGCACATCGGCTCCAAAAGCTTTGATTTTGTTCTCTATCTTTCTGTTTCTCCCCACTGACATCAGCCATTGCCCAGTGATGCTGAGGGTGACTCCAGTATAGTGAAAGCAAGTTTAATAGTGAGACAGGCTACCCAAGAGCTTGACATTCTAAAACTGATCTGTCCTTTTCATTGTAATTGAGAGCTAATTCTCAATTTTTTAAATTAGAAGTGATAAGATGCCATCCTTAGAGAATCAATCCTATGCAAATAACATGGAAATATATTTGTTGGATTTGGGGATGATTTAGGAAAGAAGACAGGTCGATACCAAATACCAAGACTAGTTTGATTTTGATCCCAAAATAATAAAATGTGTACTAATAAGAAAATTTTTTAAAAAATATGTGTGTGCATGTGTATGTAGGGGTTCACATATGTTAGTCTGGAACTGGTTGGCAATGGAAGTTCATGAAAATATCTACTTAGACCAAACTCAGAAGAAACTGATAAGACTATGTTGAGAAAAAAAGAGTGTATCAGGCTAGGTCAGGGAGTCTCTCTCTCCCTCTCCCTCCCTCCCCCTCCCCCACTGAAACATAATTAAAGCAAAGCCAAAGACCCCATCTGAAGCCAGAGATCAAAGCAGTTCACAATACGACTAGAGATTTTGTGTTTGAAGACTCATCTCAATTGCAGAAGCTGCCTAGAATGCTACAAAATCTCAGCTCATGAAGCTTAAACCAAAACAATCAATAAGATCCAAACCCTTCGTCCCACACAACACAGCATTAGTCTTGCTGGGAACAGTCTGGACATCTGCACATTCTCGGCAATGATCTGAATCATTTATTTTTCCCATTCACTACCTCTACCTCCCCAAGCCCCCAGCTGAATACCAGAATATCAGAAACTGGATTATTATTGAGAGGAATTTGTAAATACCTTCTAGGCAGCAGGTCCTCCACAGCCCGGAGTGTGTCATTACTTCTTCATTCTTTCTGCTGGTTTCATTATCACTTGTAGATTTAGTCCTGCACACACCTCTGGAATATAACCAGTAGTCCGTGCCCACTGCAATGGTCATTAAACTAAAAGCTGCGAAGGCTCCCACAGTGGTGATCAACATCTGGATACCTCTGTCACACATCCTCATAATTCTTCATGGTATTCTGAATGGCTGGGGGTTGAAGGGGAAGTTCAATGCCAGAGGAGAAAAATCACTCTGCAGCTGGGTAACCTAGGATAGGCTCTTCCAAAAATTCGGGTCTCCTTTTGTCAGCATCCACAGGGACTTGGGGAAAGCTGGGATTTCCTGTCTGAGCTCTCTCTGGTTCCCTGGCTCGCCTAGGGCCCTCGGAAGGGTGCAGACTCCAGGGGGTTGGTCCACATCACTGCTGCCTTCTGAGGGTCCCTGGGTTCCTTTCATTCCTCAGGAGCTTGGTCAAGATGAGAGTCCGTGCAAAGCATGGCTCCGGAGCCTGGAGCTGTCAGCTCGGTTTGAGATGCGCTGGCTCCTCGCAGCCCCGGGAGACTCAAGGCAAAGAAATCCAGAGAGGTCTCTGTGTGTGCGCGCGCTCGCGCGTGCATGTGCGTGCGTGTGTGTGTGTGTGTGTGTGCGCGCGCGCGCGCCAGCGCGTGTGCTGGGGGTGAGGGCGGATGGCAAAAAATAGCACTGCTAGGAGGCGAGTCGCTGAGAAGAGTGTTCACTGCTTCCCCAGCCTCCCAGGAAAGCTCTCCGCCTGCTCCCCACACCCCCGCTCAAACTGGAGAAAAGACAGTCCTGGGGCAGGGGCCGGCGGTTTCAGTAGGGGGCGAAGGTCCGTGGTGCTGAACGGACAGCACCTTCTCGTTGCCCCGCCTTCGTCTTCCTAACGCCCGGGCTTCGGGTCCGTGGTGCTGAACGGACAGCTACCGCCTGTCACTCTCGCTGCTGCACCCCCGCCTTTCCAGCGCCTGGGCTAGAGACCTGGGCTGCAGAAGGGTCTTCCTACCCCACGCTCTTCCCCAGTCCCTTCCCAGGCCAGGCAGCTGACTCGGATCTGTCTAGTCAAGCCCACGCTCCGCGCAAAGTTTGGGGAGCCCAGAGCAGTCAGAGCCCCGGTTCCTCGCGCTGCAGCACGACCCTGTTCCTCTGCTCCCGCAAGGGTTAAGGAAAGGGGAAGGGAAGAAGCCCGCAGCGCACTCTGGCGCTCTTATATCTCGCACCCAACGCCGCGTCCCCACCTTCCCCCACCCCGAACCCCACCACCACCAATGAGCCAGGCAAGTTTGCCTTTGCTGTGGGCGCTGTTGGAACCCACTGGGAAAGACCGAGTCTTCTTAAAGGGACTTGTGACTCTGGATGACGGTTCTATGGCTCACTTGGGCCGGCAAAAAGTGTTGTCACAGACACAGCTGTGTATAGTCTGTCTCAATTTGGTTCCCCACGAAACAAGCCAATATGTCTACCTTCCTTTCTCTGGAGCTCTGGTTTACACTGGAGACAAGGTGCTCAGATCAGACCAGACCTGTTCATATACATATAATCATGTATTCCTATAAGACAGCAGGGCTAATTGTATATAGACTCCATTGCACATACATCAGGGACTTGAGAAAAGGGAGGTTAAATATTGATCTGAGTATACCTCATTAATTTTAACATTTCTACATTGGAAAGGATGGATTCAAGGGGGGGGGGGTCACTGAAAATGTCAGGTTCTTTCCAAATATCCTTATCTAAGTTAGACCAGAAGCCTGCACAGTTAAGTCTGCTTTTCTTGTTAGTCCAAAGTGCAAATGCCATGGCACATCCGAGAGGTAGTGACACTCTTCCTTAGAAATAGTCAATGTCGCAAACGATCAGCATTTACCCAGCTTTGAATTACTATGTATTCTGGCATATACATGAGCACTCACTGAGTTAACTAAAAACGATCCAAAGAATGCCTTTATTCCCGCTGACCACGGCCTGATGAAATGGATACCCAGAGGCCAGTGCTTGGAACTGAGGCTGCTTGGGTTATTTCTGCAGTCCCTGAGATGTATCCATAACCACCTGTAATGTTTGGACGTTATTTGACTGGACAAAAATATAAAGGGAGAGAATCACAGATACATATTCCGGTGCCACCTCTGCTGTCTGAGAGGTTCTATACAGATGACTGAGTAGCAGCAATATATCGAAGAATTCTCAGTGCAGCTCACAACTTCTTGGTGACTTTGCTCCTTTTCTTTGGTGCTAAGATCACTTTAAGTCTTGGTTCTTGGTGTTAGGTATACATGCATGGGCATGCATAGGTTTGAATATTTAGTCATGGTACAATTATGTTTGAGTGTTTTCCTGTGCTGTGTTCAATTTAATTACGAGTTCTGTGTTTGTTATAGAAGTAAAGCAGGCATGTAAATATGTTTGTTTCTGTATGCAGTGTTGTGGGCCATGCGAATGCATCTGCTGTTTGCGTGTGTGGTGCACATGTCTGGGTACAGGTGTAATGGGGCTTTGTGTACCTTTATGCACTTAACTGTGTATGCATGTGTGTGGTTCACAAACACCGATTTTGGGGCAGGAAGTAGAAATACTGAAAATTTGCCACATAACCAAAATGAATAATAGGAGATGGGGGGAAGGTGTACAGGGCCTTCCTCAGGTTCCACGCCCCCCCCCCACACACACACAAAATGAAAACTTGTTTCTCAATTAAGAAAAAAAAAGCCATATGTAACATGGAGGTGAAATTGGTCTTTCCTGGGAGGAGTTATTAAATATGTAAAAAAAAACCACCAGAAACATAAATAATATGAAATAACTAATAATAACCAAAACAGCCATTCCAGGAACCATTTGTTTCTTTCCTTACTTCAGCAGGGATGGTGAGAAAGGTCTGTCCTCACAGCAGGACCGTGGAGATGAAAGGCCCGTGGCCTTTGGGCTTACGGACCAGTCACTGCGTTGACCAGACCACAGAGAAACAGGAGCAGCTCCATCTCCACCTGCTCAGCTCTGTCATTTAAACCCGGTGGACAAGGTGTGGTGCTCAGGAGAAATCAGACATCCAGGTAGGACAGTGTGGAGATGGGACTCAAAGGTCAGGAGCCCAGGCAAATGAAGATGACATGGGTCAGGAGGTGCACAGTTTTTCTGAAGGAGAGAAAGGGACACATGTAAAAAGAATGGAGATTTGTACTGAACCATTGCGGAGCAAGTCAGAACACCTGACGAGTGGGAGTGAGGAGGTAGGAGCGCCGTCAGTTAGTTCCTGACGATGTCTCCCTGCTTACTAGGGGGTGACCTCATCTTTTCATTCAGCTGATGTGTAGGTGTGTGTACATGGTGCTTAGAATCGGCTTCTAAGCCTAGATACAATCGCACTTTCGCCACTAGAGGGCTCTTTCACCGGATCGAGCCGGGACCCAGGAGATTCAAAGCACTGTCTCCCTACAGTGATGGAGCCAGGCTCTTTCTCTGTTTGCTGATGACCTTCTCTGGTTCTACTTATATGGCAGAGGACTGCAAGGCATTTAGACACTTTATAACTGACATTTGATTATCTTATTAAAGCTTCTTCCCCACCCCCCCTCCAGTGGACTGTCAGCTAGGGCAGCAGCTGGCAGAGTAGCTCTGTCCTTTCTTCAGTTCATCGTCTCAGGGTCACCCCCATCTCACGAGGGGTCGGTACTCCCTGAAAGTGGTTTAGGGAGGGTGCTGAAAGCTGATTCAGTTCAATAAATGCTTCTTGAGTGCTTACTATGCACAGGGATCCTGCTTAGCACTTTGGAGAATACAAAGACAAGGAAGCCCCCCCCCCCCCCCCATGAGCCCAGTCTGTAGTAGGGGATATTTTGTTAGTCTGTTTTGGCTGCAAATAGCCAAAACTCACTGGAGCTAGTTTAAGAAATTGGGGGATTTGGTACAAGGATGGGCTGTGTTTTAAGAAGCTTTAGGGAGAAGCCACAATCAGGCCTCAGCAAGGACAGTCGATCCCTTTTCATCTCTGTGGTTTTCACATGTTTAGTAGAGAAAAATTGTTTTGCCTTCTCTACTCTTCAATACTCAAGATGTAAGCTTGGTTTTGAGATTTTGTGTCATCTCTATTCAAGATACCCACCCAGACCAAACCGGGCAGTTTTAATCCCAATTAACAATTTCCAGGAGAGACACACTGGTTGACCAGCTGTGCGGGGTGCCCCTTCCTGGCCCAGCCAGCCGTGTGCCCAGAGCCAGGGTCATGTGTGCCAACACAGGTGTCAGGACGTTTGAGCTGGGGAAGGGCAGACAGTCTAGGGGGAGTTTCAATGACATCCCTGCTCCGATGGTGCTGGGCTCAGCAGTCCAACGTGACCGTGAAGGAGAAGACGACAGGGCACAGCTTAGCAGCACCGGTGATTTGGGAAACCTCTGCTGGAAGAGAAACTGGCTGCTGGGTGTCGGTGGTACAGATCAGCCTCACAATGTCTGTGCCCTTCTTCCGAGGGACACAGGTTAAGAGAGGAAAACTCTTCTGAGGTAAAGGCACCCACATAGGTATAAGTTAAGGAGATGGAGAAAATCACCCAAGTACTTGAAAGTTCTCTTGGTGTTGCCTAGAGCAGAGACAGAAGCTGGATGGTGGGGGAGGGACGAATGGATGCATCACCCTGATATCCCAGAGGGAACGGCCAAGATACACTGTAGGTGATGAGAGAGCTAGAGGTTGAAGTATGTTATTGAAAGTTACAAAGATAAGCAATAATGAGCTAAAAATTGTCTACACCTGTACCTGGGGCAAAGTGAGCTAAAACAAGATAGAAATGGGTAACTGGTTATCTTTGGGGAGAGGGACTAGAATGGGACTCGGGCGGCCCCTTTTCCTTACAGCCTGTTTGATGCTATTGGATTCTCTGAAGTCCTGTGTATGTACTCTGATGCCACCTGTCCGTCTCTCCCAGCCTCCTCCGGCTTTAGCAGTGCAGAGACGCCAAGTTCACCCATTTAGTCCCTGCGCCTGGAATGCTCTTCCTGAGATAGCCTTCTCATAAACAACACCACCACACACACCCCAAAACATTTATTTTGAAACAATTGTGAATTTACCTAAAAGTTGCTGCGGTTGTCATGGTTCAATCCCGCACTTCAGTCATATCTCAGCTGACGTGTCTCCTTCTCAGAGAACCCTTCTTTAACTGCTTGTCTAAAACAACAGCCCGCACAGCTCCTGTCCACAGCTCCTGTTTCTCTTCCTGGACTCTGTCGGGGTCTGACGTCACCCTACGCACATATGCACGTATGTCAGTAGGTAGATGAATATGTTTGTGTGTATTGTCATGTGCCCAACAACAGCAAAAACTTTCACAAGGACAGGTGATTTGATTTTCGTTTCTAAATGAAAGGCCCTGGAGTATTTCTCAGGACAAAGAAGGTACTCCATTAGCACGTGTTTAACCAATTAATTCATAAATAATCATTACGTTCCACACACTGTGCTAGGCACTGGCAATAAATAAGCACGTCACCTGGGACTCGCAGTCTAATGCAGAGGACAGAGACAATTCACAAATAAGAACAGCCGTGGTGGATGCTGCTGGTACCCCACAGGTGCCCATGTCCC